TTTACGAGACTCGAGTTGTCTCTTAAAAACAGTTGCGAACGTGTTGCACCGCGACCAACTAAGATTTTGCTGTTTGCCGAAAATATGCTCGGTGAAACGCGCGTCAACATTATCTATCCCACCCGAAAAACAACTTTCATCTTGAATTTTCAGAATCTCTTATATATTCGAACTTTTATACAATGTTATCCTACGCGATCGCATTTATTAACTTCACCATTTTATTTTTATCAAATATATATTCTTTTTGATCATCGATTGTTCCCCGAGATAAATAAAAAGAAGAAGGAAAAAAAAGAAAATAATAATAATAATAATAATAATAATAATAATAATAAAAAGAAATAAAAAAGAAAAAAAAGAAGAGAGAAATTATTCGCCAACAAACAGGAGCTAACTGACAATAATGATTTCCTTGTCAACCATGTAAACATTTAGATATACAATATTAAATAGCAACGAACTATGCTCCCTGATATTTCCTGTTTCTGCTTTGATTGAAGAAGAAAAAGAAAAAGAAAAAAAAAAATTGAAAGAAAGAAAGAAAGACTGAATAATCGAGAGAAAAGAAATACTACCGACAAGTCCACTTAATTGTTTTTACGAGTCCATTAATGGGACTCTCACGAAAATCGTAGTTGAAATAAAAAAAAAGAAAGAAAAAAAAACAGGAAAAAAAGAAGAAGAAGAAGAAGAAGAAGAAGAAGTAGGAAAGAAAAAAAAAAGGAATGAGAAAGAAAAGAAGTCGACGTCGACTAGTATTATCTGCCTAGTTAAACGAGAGAACCGACAATATCTTTATCGTTTTCAAATATTCAAGCCAGTTTTAGATTGAACATCGTCATGGTACTTTGTCAACAGGCCCGCACGCGTTTCATCGTTGAATGGAGAATGTCGTCCAATTAAAAATCTTCGCGGTTCTTCTTTCGTTGGATCGAGGAAAAAAAGAAAGGGGGAAAGAAGAAAAAGAAAAAAAGAAAAAAAAAAGAAAGAAAAGAAAAACAAGCAAGAAAGAGAACGAGGAGAAAATAAATAAAAAGAGAGACAGAGTGAAAGAGTGAGAGAGAGAGAGAGAGAGAGAGAAAACAACCAAGAAAAAAAGAAAAAGAAATTTTGTCGGACTTCGAGCTGATTGGCGGTGGATTAGAGTCGGCTTCTAAAACTTTGTTGAATAATCAAGGCGCGAGAAGCGTGTTGCGAGAAACGCGGGACACAGGTGGCCCATTTGTTCTTCGTCGGCTGGTTCGCGATAAAGAGGGCGGGCACCTCGTTAACGATTCTGGTTTTGCTACCTCGAGAAAGGATCCTGCATTCCCGCTCCATTCTATCTCTTCTACTTCTCGAACCTATCGTCAATATCGAATAAATATATATATAGCCCAATCACCTATCTCTCCATTTCTTGTATCTTCTTTCTTTCTCTTTCTCTTTCTCTTTCTCTTTCTCTCTCTTTCTCTCTCTATCTTTATCTCCCTTGCTCTTCACGTTGTTCTTGTCTCGCCCTTCTCAGTTATTACAGGCCGTTTTGCGCAGAAATTGAGCGCCGAGTGGAATTAGTCCAAGCTTATATTATATCACGGCGAACGAAATTCCCTTTCCGAACCGCAGAACCATTTATGTGTCGTCCCTTTTACCGAACGAATCTTCCTCTCGTTAGACTTCTTTATCGTCCCTGATTAGGGACGTTGGTAAATCCGTTGCTCAGTTTGTCATCGAAATTATTTCAAATTATTGCGCATATATTGAATCCACACATACATACACGCGCGCACACATACACACACACACACACACACATTTAACTCTGTCGGCGAAAATTAATTATTTTTTCTTTTTTTGCAAATTGAATATCACATATATTCGATGGAATATATAACAAATGTAAGTATTGTATTCGTTAACGATTGTACAACGCGGGAGAGGGTAAAAAAAGGGGGGGGGGAAGAACAGAGGGATGGAAAAAGAGAAGAAGCAATGGAAAAAAAAAAAAATGAAAAAAAAATATTTGCCAAAATATCCGACGATAAATAATTTTATTAGATTCCAATTCAGAGAAAATATATCCTTCTTTTCACAAAATTCGCTTACTAAGCGACATCCCGAATACTAAGATAGATCTCAATCTCGTTTCATTACACAGTCCCCGTACGTCAGAGTACTCGAACAGATTTTTTACTTTTTCGTACTTCATATTCCTTGGACGAACGGAACTACGACCTTCGTCCTTTGAAATACTTTTTTTTTCTGACGAATTTCAAAGATATCTTCTTTCTTTATTTCCTTTTATTTTTTCTTTTTTTTTCCTTTTCTTTTCTTGCCTTTTTTTTTCTTTTTTTTTTTTTCTTTTTTATTTTCTTCTCTCTTTTATTCCTCTCTTTTCTTCTCCAAAGTTGATATTCATTTTTTTAGAGTTCAACGTCAGGGCGTCACTACTAGCCCGGGTATATACATACTCGGCATACATGTATGCCGAGCACGAGTATAAATTCTCAAGTGCCTTTAAGCTTTACAAGTTTCAAAGAGAGGTAGCGGAATGTCGTTCGACCCGATCTCGAAAGTTCCGCAACGCTAGCTGAAGCTTTTATAAGAGCTAGACGAAAAGTTCAGTCGAACCCTTATATAGGTAACAACTTATCTAGACTGGCTCCGCGTTAGCGAGCCAAAGGATATTACAGTAGGATATAAAACATGGCTAAGCACTTTAAATTAGAAAACTTACACCTCGCTTACAAATTCGTTCGAACTACGCGATAGTAAAAAAAAAAAAAAAAAAAAAAAAAAAAGATCTTAAAGTAATCGACACACCCTTAAGGACATTCATATTTCAACGTTTCTTCGTTTTAAGGTGCTTATAAAAAAAAAAAAAAAAAAAAAAAAAAAAATAATAAACAAAAAAAAAAACAAAAAAAAACAAGAAAAAGCAAAAAGGAAAAACCAGAAAAAAAATCGCTAAAGAAGAAGAAAAATAAAAAATAAAAAAAAAATAAAAAAAAAAAAAGGAAAAAGAAAGAAACGAAAAAGAAAGAAATGAAAAAATACTTTTCAGACGAAAATAAAACGAAATACTTCAGGAATATTATCTCGAAGGTAAATTTATCATTTGGGTCAAAACTTTCGACTCGCGAAAGAAAATGTGTTACGAAAAGTTGTATTCTCCTTAATACTGTCTCGTAATGAAACGATTGCCTCATGGCCGAGAGTAAGAGAAACTTTTCCGAGAAATATTCTCTCTCTTTCTCTCTCTCTCTCTCTCTCTCTCTCTCTCTCTCTCTCTATTTTACTCACTCACTCTTTCTCTCTCTTTCTTCCTCTTTACAAAGGCGGAGCCAAAGGGATGCCTTTCGCCCGGGCTTCGACGTGATGCGCGCGCGCGAGCTCTCTTGCACACACGCTGACTCCCCATGCTCAGAAACTTTTGAGAACCGAACGAAACGAGTACCGACGCGACATTTTGCTTCTCTTTCTTTATTTTTCACTATTTCTACCTTTCTCTCTTTCTCTCATTCTTTCTCTCTCTTTCTCTCATTCTTTTTCTCTCTTTCTCCCTGTCTGTTGTCTGTCTCTCTCTTATTCGTTCACTCTTCCTTCTCTCATTTCTTTCTCACGGAACTTGTAAAATTTAAAAGCACTTTGGAATTCGCATCTGCAAAAGTACACCAGTGAAAACTTCGAAGAAGGAAACGAAAGGGGTGGGGAGAGAAAATGAGAAAGAGAGAGAAAGAGAGAGATTCGTTCGGTATACCCTACACGTTCGGATTTTGCGTTTTCTGTTTTTTTTATTTTTTCTTTTCTTTTCTTTTCTTTTATTTTATTTTCTTTCATCTCTTTTTATCAAATTTTGCGAACGACGAACGACGATGAAGATACGTGAAAAAAAAGAAAAAAAAAAATAAAATAAAATAAAATAAAATGCAACGGACTGTAATGATATCTTAGCATTCTTCTTGTTCTCCCTTCTTCGAAATGAAAATTTTATTATTTAATTATCCGTATTCGTACATTAATTATCATCATTCGAATATTCGAATACCAATTAAAAAAAAAATTCTTTTATTACTATCTCGATATACTTTCTCAATGATTCGAAGAAGTTCTTTATGCTTGAAGGCTTCATTAAAGAGAAACATTTAAAAAAAAAAGAAAAAAAAAGAAAAAAAAAAGAAAAAAAGAAAGAAAGAAAGAAAGAAAGAAAAAAAAACAAGGAACAAATACACGAAAAAGTAGACAAATTTGAAGATCAATTGTTAACGAAGCAAACGATGCGAAACTAAATTAATCATATTGATCCATCGATGAAGTTATTCGCGAGGATATTCATTTAAAAAATGTATGAGAAAACCTGTACGTGACTAGAAAACTCGTAAATTTCACGACCGGATTAATTTTCAGAGAGTAAACGCGACGAACCAATGAAGGAGAAAACAGCACGCGTATTAACCAACGGCGGCGCCAGTTTCTCTATTCGCAATTTTTACTTTCACGTTGATTCCTTTCCCTTTTTTTTCTTTCCTATATTCAGCGTTTCACATTTTTCTGAATTATGATATATAAAAAAAAAATAATAATAATAATAATAATAATAATGATAATGATAATAATAGAAATAATTCGATCATCGAATGAAATGAAATGAAACAAAATTTATTTTGTCGTATCTTAAATTGACATTAATCATTTATTGAGTCTTCGTTTGTCTAATAAAATAATTAGTCTAATATTTAATCTTTATCTTCTCTTTATAATGATTTTTATTACTCTCTTATCATAATTATTCTATCAGAGGCGACATTTTCAACATGAAAATGACGAAAATAATGAGATGGAAGTGCAAGCTTTAAACAAGAAGAAAAAATATATACACACACACATATATATATACATTCATATATATATATATATATATTTATATATATATATATATATATATATATATATATATATATATACACGAGAGGATGTCTATTCTATCGACCAGGCTTGCGACGCGCGCATGACAACACGCTCGATCGTAAGGGAAGACTATCATGGCGACGGTGCGAGATAACCTCGAGCTCTTTCGAACGTTCTTTTATCCATTTACTATACTTTCTAAGATTTAACTGGTGATTTACGGAGTATGTCTATTGGTGTCGAAACAATCGGAGAACGAGTAATACCTACTTAACTCGAATCGTGCTTTACAGGTAAGCCAACGACGTATTTTCTGTCGTTTCCTCGAACGTAACAACAATATTTTCTGATAATTCATTGAACTAAAATAGAAACATAGAAAGTCTATATGGAAAGATAAAAAAAAGAAAAAAAAAAGAAAAAAGAAAAAAGAAAGAGACAAATGAAATGAGACAACGTTGATAAGGGAAAAACAAAAATTTTTCTGCTAAAAATAAATTCCTAATCGTTTGCATTGATAAAATAATTAGAATGCTGATACGTATGTATGTATGTATGTATATATATATATATATATATATATATATATATATATACATATCCCAGTTCTCTTCTCACCCTATCTTCTAGTCTATCCTGTAAAATTGACATTTGTCATTCATCGTGTATTTGAAATAAGAATACTGTAATTTCTCCTGGAACTTTTTGACTCGTTGAAAAATACAAGAAAAAATCTGTGAATGAATTAATAGAAAAATTATTTACGAGTATACGTTCATAGTGATGATGCGTTCATATGTATGACATAGACAAATAGCGTCGTTTGTTTGTTCGCGTTATAGCTGAAAATAGACAATTTATGGAAGGTGCCTTAATGCCTATAAAGAAACCTACTGTGTGGCCAATTGTGACATGTTAGGTTCCGCGAATAGACTTCATTGATCGCAAATTATCCGTAATTTCTACGAAAGTGAAGAATACCTAGCTAAATCGTTATATCTATTTACACATTCCTAATTTATCTATTTATAGATAAATCCAATGCGATAATTTTTATCGCGATAAAATCACTCGATAGAAGTCAATCGTAATTTAATTAAATTTATAATTAATGAAAAACATATTAAAAACATTTGCCTCGTTCGTTACTTACGAATGAAGTTCTTCATTTTATATTTATAATAATAAAATCATCGATCGATACATTAACCAAATAAATTTATAACCAGTAAACTATAATAATATCAATGATCTGATAAAATTCTCTTATTTCTCTTACGTTTAATGTTTGTTTTCAATCGAGTCCGTCGTTAAAATTTTTCTGATTATCACAAAAATATCTCATGCTAACGAATGAGAGAGGAGAAAGAGAGATAGGGAGAGGGGGAAAGAAAGAAGTAAAAAAAAAAAAAGCGGGAGAAAAAAAAGAGGAAAGAAAGAAAGAAAGAAAAAGAAAAGTTGTCCCGATCGAAGTGAAATGATTTCCTTATCATTATACGAAGTATTTCATTACATACAAGTGTATAATATAGATACTATCTTTCTGTCCGACAATCTCTCTCTCTCTCTCTCTCTCTCTCTCTCTCTTTCTCTCTCTCTTCCTCTTTTAAAAAAAAAAAAAGAAGTAAATATCAAAAACACGCAAGATATAAACGTGGCCATACGAAAGTTTACGTTCCGTCGTACGGACAACGTGAGAAGAAAGCTTTTTTCTTAAAAAAAAGAAAAAGTTATATCCTGTTCGACTTAAAAAGTAAAAAAACGAAGAAGGATAGGCGATAGGTAATCAAAGGAAAGTCAGTTCAAACGAATTAAATTGGAAAGGACTGAATAACACGAAGATCTAGCTAGCTATATATATATATACACCTACATTCATAGAGAAAGATGGACGATACGCCGGAACTTTGGCTGGTCATCAACGAAATAATCTCTCTCTCTCGCTCTCTCTCTCTCTCTCTCTCTCTCTCTTTCTTATTTTCGTTCGAATTCGAAGGTTTCTTCTCGTGGACATAACCTTTACGCTATTATCCAGTAAGAGCGAGAGAGAGAGAGAGAGAGAGAGATAAAGAGAAAGAGAAATGTGGTAACTCACTTTTGGCTTTCTTCCTTTTTGCGAAGTGTATTAGATTGGCTTCGAGATACGTGACCTCGCTCGAGAATCAAGCTCGTTTCCCAACATTCTCTACTCTTCACTTCGATCCTCCTCAAACCCCACCCAAGAGCCCTCTCATCCTCTCCTCTCTTCGTCATTTCCTATGGTTCCTCGCCACCTCCCACGTCGACACTACGTCCTGCACGAACCTAACTTTCCACGAACGTACTTCTCCTGGGCCCCCTCCCCTCAACCCTCCTATCCTACCTCCTATTCATTCTCCGCCATACGCTTTTTTTCTTTTTTATTCTATTTCTTTTTTCCTTTTTTTTTTTTTTTATTATCTTATTTTTTCTTTTTTTCTTTCACTATTTACTTCCTTCCATCCTTTACTTACTACCGTCGCGTCCTTCTTTCATTCTCTAATGTTTTTCACTTCTTCGACGTTGCGAAACTCTTAAGCAGATTCTGTTTACATTATCTTCTATTTCGTCTCACAAACATATACATACAAACATACATACATACATACATACATACATACATACATACATACATATATATATATATATATATATATATATATATATATATCGTGTATATTATAAAAATTCGTATTCGGCAATTCGAAAACAAGAAAATATCGTCTAATCCTATAATTAATTTTACCGAATCAATGTTTAATTTAACATTGTAATCGTGATCGTATTTAGGTCGATATTTAGGTATCTATTTCTTTTTTTTTCTTCTTTCGTTCTTTCTCTCTTTTACCTCTCAATTATCGTATAAAGAGAATTGATAGAAACGTTAGTAAAAATTTTATAACAGAAGTTCGAATGTAATTCGAATTAAATTTCTCTAAAGAATACTTCCAATTTTCTTTTATATAAGCTGGACAATAGAAGCCAGAGAAGGAGAGAAAAAGAGAGAGAGAGAGAGAGAGAGAAAGAGAAAGAGAGAAAGAGAGAGAGAAAGTAAACGCAGCAGCAAGTGAAGTAGAAAGAAGAAAGAATTAAATAGAAATGGGGGGGGGAGGTGGGGGGAAGAGAAAACTTCGTGTCATCGGATTCAGCAGTCCGACCAGAGTTCTGAGATGGTTATAAAAGTTTTCTGCAGCTCGATATATATATATATATATATATATATATATATATATATATATGAATGTATATAAGTATACTTATAGATACGTTGTGTATATATGTATGTAGACGAAGTATCGATACGCGTATTACCTAGACTGGAACAAACTCGTTTCCAATGTGTTCACCTTGGTCTTCTTCTTCCTTCTCATTCTCATCCACATCCTCATCCACATCCTCATCCTCATCCTCATCCTCCTAAAGGGAGAAAAGAGAAAGAGAGAAAAGCCAAAGAGCAATTCCTATTCCAACGACTTTCCGTAAAAACGTCTCATATCGTGAAACATTGTTAAATATATTACGGTCTTGCCATCTCGTATACCACTACTACTACTACCACTGCTGCTACTACTACTACTACTACTACTACTACTACTACTACTACTGTTACTACTACTACTACTACTACTACTATTACTACTACTCTGCTACTAACACTACCAACATCATGTAATGCATATGTATGCAAAGACGAAGTGAGAAAGAGAGTGAAAGAGAGAGAGAGAGAGAGAGAGAAAGAGAGAAATGCCATGATAGAAGATCACGTGCCTACAGAATTTTACAGTCCCCACGTTGATCAGAGTCTAGACTATCGTTTTCGTGATCCGGAATCCTTTCGGTCTTTCTTCTCGAACGGAATATCGAGAAGGGGGCGTGAAGTTTGAGGATGCAAGAGATGCACCGCCTTTCCAACCAGTCAGAGCTTAAGCTCAACCGTAATATTCAACTCGATGAGAGAACCTAAGAAGCCATTGATCTCCTTAAAATCTAACCGTATCCATGTATATAACGTGTACTTAAACATGTCTTATATGGAAAAAGGAAAACAAAAAAAAGAAAAAAAAAAGAAAGATATGATAAATTACATATTTACGAAAATAATCGTATTGTTTAGTAAAAATCAAATATCTCAAGATATTTGCATGATTTCTTTTTCTTTTCTTCTTTCTTTCTTTCTTTCTTTCTTTCTTTCTTTCTTTTTTCAAGAAATACATTTGATTTTAATTGTACGATAATAATTGTTTAAAGTTACAATCAATTAACGTATACCTAATTACTTAGCGAATAGAACTTGTGTATACTTATATCTATCTATATAAAATAAAGTTCGACGTGTTTTAAACAAAAAACCAAAAAAAAAAAAAAAAAAAAAAAAAAGAAAAAAAAAGAAAACGAAGAAAAAACAAAATGAAATACATAAAATGAAATAATAAAAAAAGAAAAACAAAAAAGATAAAAAGAAAGAAAAGTAAAGAAGAAAAAGTAAAAGAACTTTTCTCTAATTTATTTATCGTCTCCATCTCAAATTCACCCTCCCCTCCCTCCCTACCTCCCTCCCTTCCCCATTAAATCACTTGCCTTTATGAAATTCTTTGCGAATACTTTTACTTCAATGAAACTAAGTAAATATATATCATTGGTTCGAGTTGAAAAATTTGTCGATCGTCTTGGACTTAACATTTTCGTAGTATCGCATAGACATCGTCGTCCTCTCTTTTTTTAGTGCATAAGTCCCCCTTATCTCACGGTTCTCATTTTGTGACTTTCCCCTACGCCATTCTATTCTACTCTTACTCTTACTCTTACATCTCGTCCTTGTCTACTTCTACTACTTCTTCTACCTCTTCTACCTCTTCCTCTTCGTTTCATAGATATCTTTACATTTTCACAACCTCCTCCCGAGTTTTCATGTCTCTTCTCTCAAATATATATATATATATATATATAATATATAATATATATATATATATATATATCTTTGTACGAAGTTTCCTTCGGTCGTTCCTGTGACTTCGCTCTAATGAGACTTCAACGTTCACCGTCATTCTGATAGTCACACACAAATGCACGTAACTTACATGTACCTACGAATAACGTAGATACCTACTCTAGTCGTACCTAGTCTAGTCTATCCAACGTCCTCCGGGTAAATCCTCTAACGCATAAGACTTCTCATGGTAACGTACGTGAAGCTATATGTACTTACATACACATATACAAATACATAGATACATACATAGATACGTACGTACGTAGAATCTTGTAAGAGAAAGATAAAGACGAGAAGAGAAGAGAAAAGAGAGAGAGAGGGAGAGAGAGAGAGAGAGAGAGAAAAAGAGAGATATCCTAGAAGTTCGTCGGCGATATTCCAACAACGATTTCAACCAACCCATCCTTACACAATCGTGTACCTACAAACGTACTCGCCTTAGCAAGAAGAACCCTTTTACGTGTCCAATCTTCCTCCGTCGTTCCTTCGTTGAAGGAGAAATAACAATTTCGTTGTTGGAACGCCTTGAGAAAACTTAACGCTTAACCGCGCTCGCCCGTTTTCTAGTAAGCTTTTCGACTTTCTTCCGAATCGGAAAGCTCGATCTCCTTTTCGTGCTTCTCGTACGAGTAAGACGAGAACGTTTGGAAAATAGGAAGATGACCTCGTAAAATTGGAGCTATGCCGAGGATATTTTTCTTGGTTGGTTGGTTGGTTGGTTGGTTGGTTGGTTGGTGGATAGGTAGATAGGTAGGTAGGTAGGTAGGTAGGTAGGTAGGTAGGTAGATAGGTAGGTAGGTAGATATAGCTAGCTAGATATAGAGTATATCGGAAACTCGCTATTTATCCCGCCGAACGACTCTAGTCGTATACCGTTATTTCATAACTCCGTAAGACGTAATAGATCTCGGACTTCCTACCAAAAATTGCATCCGTCTTGTGGACTGGCTCGTTAACTTGACCGGAGGATAGGATTTTATTCCTCGTCAAATGATATTAAAAGTTTTCGTACGTTATAAGAAAGAAAAAAATTGAGAGATAGAGAGTAAGAGAAAGAGAAAGAGAGAGAGAGAGAGAGAGAGAGAGAGAGAGAGAGAGAGAGAGAGAGAAAGAGAGAGAAATCATGAAAACGGAAATAACATAACAAATACAATTTCATAGTTGTAACAGACTAAGAAGACATCGTATTGAATATCGTAATGGCGTACAAAGAAGAGGGCGATTACCATAGAAATGTCTCGGCTTTTAATGACACGTGTATTATGTACATATATATAAATATATATATATGTACACACACACACACACATACATACATACATACATATATATATATATATATACATTCTTTTCTATACTTGAAAAAGATACGAAACGTAATGGATTCCATACGATCAAAATCTGAACGAACGAGCCTTGCAGGCAATGAATTCGTCCTAGAGTTTCATAACTTCGATCGGCCAACGAGAATAACGAAGGACAATGTTGCACGGGCTAGCTCTTGCAGGAGCACCTAAAGAAAATAAACTGTAATAAAATGGACTATGTAAAATGGCGAGCCCCAAGTGAAATAACGTTTAACCATCTAGCTAGCTTGGCCTAGGCTTGATAAAGATTTCTCGCTTAGACATAAACATCGGGCGTCGCAAACTTAACGCATGGTCATCCACGAATGAGCGTAAAGATCGCTCTTTACGATATCGTCGTGTCGGATTTTGCACAAGAAAGAAAGAGAGAGAGAGACAGACAGAGAGAGAGAGAAAGAGAGAGAAAGAGAGAGAGAGAGAGAGAGAGAGAGAAGGAGAGCTAGCGCGCTCACGTTCAATGTGGTATCTTTGTAGACACAGTTAATTGAGAAGTCAACTACTTACATATATACGTAAACCTTCGAGTACCAATGAATTCAATTTACGCATCTCTTATGCATAGTTATATTGTTACTTTCTTTATTTTTTGTTTTGTTTTGTTTTGTTTTTTCTTTCTTTTCTTTTTTTTGTTTTGTTTTATTTTTCTTTATTATTTTTTTCTCCCTCTTACGCTTACGCTTTCTCATTTCTATCGCTTTTTCTTCCCTTTATCTTTTTTATATTTGTTTTATTTTTATTCCTTATCCTCTTCTACTACTACTTGTTCTTCTTCTTCTTCTTCTTCTTCTTCTTTTTTTTCTTCTTTATCTTCTTCCTCTTCTTCTTCTTTTTTCCGACGCTACGTAGAAAACGAACGACATCGCGAGCCGACGGATACGCGCCGAAGACGCAATGCTTCGATTCTATTTCGTCATTTGAAAATTTTTTATTTAAAATATTCTTTACGAAAGAAAACCAATTCTTCGTTCTCTTTTTTCTTCCTTTTTTTTTTTCTTTCTTTCTTTTGTAAACGAGTGCACAAATATATTTATCATTGTTTTAACCATACTTAGAAAATGTATTCCTTTTTATTGTCTCGATCGATCATAGATAGGAGTAGTTTCATTCAAGATGGAGAACAAACGTGAAAAGAAAATGGAACGATCTGCGTGCAAGTCCTTATATATATATATATATATATATATATATATATATATATATATATATATATAACGAATAACAGGAAGATTGGTATGATCTAATCATGGAATCTACTTCGAGCCCTGAACAAAGCAAACTGAACAACCTTAGTTCGTAAGATGATCTTAGAGGGAAGAGAAAGACGAGAATCCAATCAAAACCGAATAGAAGAGGCCATCGAATATCCAACGACTACGTTTGCCTTCTGCGAAGCAATTATCCCTTTTGCTAAGAATGGTCTTAGGGACGTAATTAATCTCCTTGGCAATCAACGTTAACAACACTATGAACATTACTCGTTCCAAGTAATTATACCAATTAGCACTTTTGCAATGATTTTATCTTTTTCCAAACTAAATATATACGTTTCCTGGTATTTTTATTATAACTTATAAATAATTATAATATAACGAGTATGATACAATATACATACGTATATACATATACATATATATATATATATGCATATATAATATATATTTTCTTCGTAGAAGTTCGTAGTTAATTAACGCAATTATTTATGATAAAACGTATGTACTTAGTTATAATCAATACATTATGAATAAATTACATATATTATTTTAATGCACTTTTTGAGATATCCCTCGAACAATATTAATAATCCATATGTATCTTCAATAATATCCCATAATATTTCATTAACTTAACACACAGAAAATTTCCGAGGAATACGAAACGATACGTGTCGGTCTTCTTCCAACAAGAGACTGCTCGCGCTTCGGTAGTTTACTTTAGGTATAAACACAACGGTTCGGCGGGTAAACGACGAGGTGACGTAGAAAAAAAAAGAGAGAAAAAGTGAGAAAGAGAGAGAGAGAGAGCGAGAGAGAGAAAAGGGTTTATCTATTTTTTGCGTGTATGAGCTATTCGAAGAAAAGAAAAAAACGAACGAACGAACGAACGAACGAACGAACGAATGAACGAACGAAAGAACGAATGGTTGACCTTTCGGCATAACTCTAGTTTTTATGCAAAGCCCTTCGGACAAATGGAAAGCAGATTTTTCGGATATTCCATACCTACGTAGAAAAATATCTACGTTGGGAAAGAGGACTGGCAAAAAAATTCTATGTCGGTTTGAAACGACTAAGAGAGTTGTGGGAGACGAATTTCTTGTTGCTTTTTTTCTTCTTCTTTTTTTTTTCTTCTTCTTTCCTCTTTCCTTTTCTTTTCCTCTTTTTTTTTCCTCGAAAGAAAAGAAAAGAAAGAAAGAAAGAAAGAAATAAAGCAAGAAAGAAGGAACAACAAAAAAAGAAACAAAAAAATATTTTGTTGGAAAGAGACCTTTGTGGACCTTTTACCGATATCCACCCAAGGCGCAATGAGAAAAAACGATACGAAATAAAGCAAAAAGCAAGATAAACGAAAATGAAAAAAGGGGAAGGACGAGATTTAAGGGAGTACGATGTGGGTGGACAGATAACCGGAAAAACGTTCGATCTTCAACTAGAAACGAGAAACCTTTTGCAAAGAAGAGTTTGTCCCTATAAATGAAGAGGAAAATTCTACTCTTAGTGCCCTTCCCTCGCCTCGTCTCGGAAGCATTATCGTAGATTGGTTTCTTTCATCGAACTTTCCCGTAAGTAAGAGATAGGTAAGTTTTTTTTCCCTTCAAGATTGAAAAGCATTTACATGGAAATGTGGATATATAAGACACACTCTCGTTCGATATTTAAATAGATATCTAAGCGGATATATGATCGATTATTAAACAGATTGTTTTAAAGTTGTAAGAAACTTTTTATATATTTGTCTCTCTCTCTCTCTCTCTCTCTCTCTCTCTTTCTCTTTCTCTTTCTCTACGTCAATTTACTAAAATTTATTATAATTTTCCCGATAATCCTTTCTTATTTTTCTTTAATAATCTAATGCTCATAAACGTATGATTATTTAAGCGAATAACTATAAATTAATATACGTACACTTAATTGAAAAATTTCTCGAATAACGTTACTTTAAAAATTAATCAGACATATGACCTTTTTTCGCGACATTTTTACTCATTAAAATACTAAATTAAGAACTTTCGATTCGTCCTATTAACGCGAGTTCAAAGCTCTCTTCCATCGTCCTGTGCTTCGAAAAAAAAAAAAAGAAAGAAAAAAAAATAAAACAAAAAGGAAAAAAAGTTGCATTATCTGTCCTTGCAAGAAAGAGGCAGAGAGAGAAAGAAAGAGAGAGAGAGAGAAAGAGAGAGAGAGAGAAAACGAGATATTAAAGGGGAAGGAGATTGAGAATGAAATTCACGTTGAGATATTATTCTCGTGTTATCGAACGAACATGAAGATCTCAAGTTCCCTAAGGGGGTTTATATATCTCGAAAGGAAAGACGAGTTGCATGTATAGTCCGACTTATCGGAGAATTTTAAGTCGTCGTGAAGGGTACAATGTTGCATCCACAGTGGTCGTTCGTTCGTTCGTTCATACATACGTTCGTTCGTTCATTCGTCCGTTCGTTCGTTCGTTCGTTCGTTCGTTCATTCGTTCGTTTGTTCGTCTTGCATTTGTGAGAGTAAATTTCGCGACGGAAGCGACGGAAGGACCATGGTCGCAATAAAAGACGAAGCGTGCAGAGGGAAGATGAAGCCTTGTAAACAGAGAGAAACACCAAGTTCTAAGGGAATAGGAACGAACGGCAAGGCGAAAACGGACGAGCATGTAAACGCGAACTCTGTTTATACGACATTCTTTGTATGCGTCTCTTTCTCTCTCTCTCACTTTCTATCTCTCTCTCTCTCTCTCTCTTTCTATCTACCTATCTATCTCTATCTATCTCTATCTCTATCTCTATCTCTTCCTCTTTCTCTTTCTCTATAGCTATTCTATGTATTCACATGTATATATATATATATATATACGTATGTGTATATGTGTGTGTGTGTGTGTGTAAATGTAGCTATTTGAAATGCACTCGGTGACATCCTCTGCACATAGAAGTTCCTATGAGCTTCAGTGGTCTTCAAACTTCGTCAAATTATTCGTCTAACTAAGTAAACTAATTCTCCATTAACTACCAAGAGTGAAAGAGAGAGGGAGAGAGGAGAGAGAGGAGAGAGAGAGAGAGAGAGAGAGAGAGAGAGAGAGAGAGAGAGAGAGAGAGAGAGAGAGAGAGAGAGAGAGAGAGAGAGAGAATATAGGGAGTCGTTTCGAAATACGAGATCTAACTTCGTTTTACGACGATATTATATATTATTAACGAATTAGAATATATTCTTGTCAAATCGTCGTGTTAAATTTCAACGAGAAATATTTTGCCAATAACTATATAACGACAGTATTATTTTTCTTTTCCTTTAATCGATCCGACTTTATATTAATTCCCCAGCAACGTCATAAAAATTCATTAATATCAGATTAATTAATATCAATTTATTTCTGAAATAATGTATCATTATTCTAGAATAAATCGACGTGCTGTTTAAAATGGAAAAGAGATAAAAAAAAAAAAGAAAAAGACAAAAAAGAAGAAGAAGAAGAAGAAGGAAAAAAAGATGAAGGATTTCTTGAAAAAATTTTCTTGAAAAAAAAAAAAAAAAAAAAAAAAAAAAAAGAAGAGAAAAGAAAAATGTTATATTGCGGATCAGTGTATTTTAGGGTAAGCAAAAAAGAGAATAAATGAAAAAAAAAAAAAAATGAAAAAAAGAAAAAATAAAAAAAAAGAAGAAAGGGTAAAAAGAAAAGAAACAGGTCGTATGTCGTCTTTCGGATTATTCACGCCACGAGAAAAATATTTCATGCGAGCCGACGGCGTCTAGCTTACATTTTGGTTGGATTATGCACCGAGGACATTGTACCGGCTAAAATCGTCCGGCTATCAAAACTTGGCTCGCTTCGAGCTCCAGTGCACGTCATCGACGTCGTTCGCCGTTCTAGAAGTAGTAGTAATGGTAACGTGATGGAACCGGGGGAGAAGTAAATAGGAGGGGGAAAGGAGTGACGAGAACATATACGAGCTTAGACGCACGGTATGCACGCTATCACGAAGGATCATCTTTTTTTCTTCTTCTTCTTCTTCTTTTTTTTTGTGGCTTTCAACATCTTAAAGGAATAGGACAATATTTTTTTTAGAATAAGAGAAGTAGATTTCGATTTTCGATAGGTATCGATCACGTTATTGTTGTTGTTGTTGTTATTGTTGTTGTTGTTGTTGTTGTTGTTGTTGTTGTTGTTATTGTTGTTGTTGTTGTTGTTGTTGTTGTTGTTTTTGTTGTTGTTGTTGTTGTTGTTGTTGTTGTTGTTGTTGTTGTTGTTGTTGTTGTTGTTGTTGTTGTTGTTGTTGTTGTTGTTGTTGTTGTTGTTGTTGTTGTTGTTGTTGTTGTTGTTGCACTTAACGCGTCTGCATGTCTTTACCCGCCATTTTTTTCGAAGCTTCGAATTCACTTCGTTTCATTGGATCAATCTAGACGCCTTGCAATTATTTTTTCCTCTTTTTTCTTTTTTTCTTTCTTTCTTCTTTTTTCTTTCTTTTTTTCTTTTTTTTTTTTTTTTTTCTTAGAGTCGATTTTACGAATAAGAATTATTTATCGATCGATTATTATTGATACCAATAAGATATCCTACAAAAATGTCTATGCGATATTTCTGTACTCATCTCAAGTCGTTAAAAATAAATTCAAGATTAAATATTTTTCCTAACTATAAGAAAAAAAAAAAAGAAAGAAAAAAAAAAAGAAGAAGAAATGATAATTAATTGTACAAAAAAAAAAGATTGCACGGGGTTTCGTTTCGATTAAATTTCAAGTCCTCGTTTCTATCAAGCTATCTCGCTATCTAGATCGAGACTTTCAAACGAATGACACTCGTTCGAGTTTACGAGAATTTTACAGAAAAAATGTACGATAGTTCTGTTCGCAGGGTTTAAAAGATGGGAAAAGAACGAGAAAAAAAAAAAAAAGGAAAAAAAAGAGAAAGAAGATGAACTTCTCGAAGCAAAAGCATCAGCAGCAACGGCGGCAGCAACAATGGCCAATGCCAGCGGCAGCAGCAACAGCAACAGCAACAGCAACAGCAGCATCAACAGCAGCAACAGCAGCAGCAGCAGTAACAGCAACAGCAACAGCAGCAGCAGCAACAGCCAGCAGCAACAGCAGCAGCAATAGAACTAAGAGGACGAGAGAGCAAGGATATAAAGTGGAAAATCTTCGGATCCGCAATTTAAGAGCACGATTCCAATGCAGAGGGAGTAAGAACGTTAACGATACCGAACAAGTTGAATACCGAGTTTCGCTACATAGTTGCGAGACCTTCGGTATATCTCCTAATTATATCTTCTCTTAGCCCGAGTAAAGTTCCTCCTTTTAATGAAACGCCATAAAAAGCGGAGCGAGAAAAAGAAGAGACCAATAAGGAAACGCCGATGACGGTAGGAGAAGGAGAAGAAGAAGAAGAAGAAGAAGAAGAAGAAGAAGAAGAAGAAGAAGAAGAAGAAGAAGAAGAAGAAGAAGAAGAAGAAGAAGAAGAAGAAGAAGACGAAGACGAAGAGGAAAAAGAAGGAGAAGGGGAAGAAGGAATAAAAGGAGAAGGGTAGAAGGTAGAAAAGAAGGGGAGGTGACCATACCTGAGGGAATATAAGACAAAAAGATAGGCTGCATTACGATTACACTTAAAAAAAAAAAGAGAGAGAGAGAGAGAGAGGTTGTATGTAGCACGTAGTGGAGGGGGAATGGGGGTGAATAAAAAGTAAAAATTAAGAAAGAAAAAGGAAAGAAGAAGAGAAAAGAAAAATAAATAAAACTTCGTCGTTTTTCATCATTTTTCCTCCCCTACTTTTTTCTTCCATCTTTCCCCT